AAACATGACCAAAAAGCCTGTACTTATGTTAATTTACTCTTTTATTTTTCAACACTTTTTCATTCTATAAATTCCAGTGTTTGTTTTATTCTGAAAATGAAGTAGTGATGGTTTTGCTGACCAAGTATGGATCAGCTGTGTAATTCCTGATCTGACTTGCATTTTAAGCAACAGACAGACTTGTTTTCCCATTTAAGGAATTCATTGCTGTCTGTGTTGTAGCTCCTTGACACAGCTTTTCTGATGTTCCTGCTGTACAAAATATGTATATTCTGTTTTGTTAAGCACACTTTACAGAAACAGTGTGATTGAGTGCTTTTCTTTTTTTTTTTTTTTGTTGCTTGATATTTATTTAGGCAGAAGAGCATGACAGATGGGCAGTGCATTTTGATTCTTTTAAGAACCACCTTAATGCTAATGCACAACACCCCCTAAATGGAATGCACAAAAAGCAGCCCGAAAGTCTTTGCCTGTCACCTGACCCTAAGGAGCTGACTGCTTTTATTCACCCTTTTTCACCTGCAGCTTTAGGCAATCTCATGCCCTTAAAGGTGGGAAATGCAGAAAAAGCTGCTAAAAATGGTGCTTTGGAACAGACTCAGAAAGTCAGGTGAGTGAGCTGTGTAAGGATAATCATCTTCCCAGCCAGTACATTTCTGATACCACCTCAGAAATTAGAAAAAAAAAAAAAAAGGGGTTCTTTAAATCTGATCTTTGGATCTTACTAATTTGGCTTTTGCTTTTTTCAGAACTACCTGTTGTTTCACTTGTGAAAGACCCAAGTGCTTCCACTGTTCACTAATAACATTTACTGCAAATAACCTTACTTTGTTCCTTAAAAAATTAATTTCCTAATTATAAATTAATACAATGGGATAACCTCAAGATGAAAATGAAATCTGATTCTAACTAAAAAAGGCTTTAGGGTTATTTTCCAATGATTAAAAACATTTCCATGTTCCTCTGTTCTTAGTTTCCTCCGTTCAATGACGGCTCTCCTGGACCCTGCACAGATTGAGGAGCGAGACAGGAGGCGGCAGAAACAGTTAGAACATCAGGTAGACTTTTGTTTCAAAGGCTAACACCATTTTAATGAGAAGGAAAGATAAAAGGTGTGTTGTCTCCTGAAGAAAGCATGAGATTTAATACCAGAATCCAGGCAGGCACTTGACTGTTATGCTGTAGATTGCATGGACAGTTGTTTGACAGGATTGCATTCAGTCACACGTATATGAAAGTATATGAATAAATAGCTTAGAATGCCTCAGTGTTACATCTTTTCCTTATTTCTCTGGTACTGGTAGAGAGCAATAATGGCTCAGGTGGAAGAAAAACGGAGGAAGAAACAACAGGAGGAAGAGAAGAGAAAATGGGAGGAGCAACAGGAAGAACTGCGCCTGGCACGAGAAAAAGAACAACTGCAGAAACAGTTTGAAGAAGAAATGCTGAAACAAAAACAAAAGGAGGTGAGGGTTTGCATTATCTGTAGTGCAGACAGTCAGTAGCATGACTGAGTTTTGAGGAAAATGGTTCTCGTTCCTCACCTTCAAAATTGTGGCACTTCATCATTTTGAAAATGAAAACTGTGAAATTGAGATTTGAAATCTAAATCTGTTCCCTCAACTGATAAACTTATAACACCACACAAGCATAAGGCAACTTTCTTTTCCTGTACAAGGGCCTTTTCAGGAAGAGAAATATAAGAAGTAGCAAAAAGGGAAATGTACTTTTAAATAATGCAGAAACATCCACTGCAAAATGCAAATTGTGATGCAATTATTGTTATGGGTAACTCGATGCTTTTAAGATGCTTCAGTAGCCTGGAGTTCATCTGACTGAATGTGCTTTCAGTCTGAATTAAAGACTTCTTAGAATACAGTCTGGAAAAGTAATTTTAAAAGTCAGTCATGTTCTACAGCTTTGCCCTCTGTAGCTGTTACTGAGCTTTACATACTGCTTTCATATAAAAGTTAAACCAAAAGTACATTGTGACCTTGGGGAAGTACAAATTGTGCATTTGGACATGTTCTTACCTGTGCAGAAAGTTAAAAGCTTCCTCTGATGTTTCATTCTTCCTTTTGCCACAGTAGCAGCTATTACTGTTCATTTCCTGCTTGGAACAGTAGCAGATTCCATAGTGTCACTGCTCCAAAACCTGCAGAAATGTGGATCCCTGGTTTCATTAAACCACATGTTGCAGGAAGCCACAAATGGCTGATATCAGATGGCTTCTAGGGAAGAAAAAGAATTTTTTGGAAAGGAAATAAATATCCAAATAACTCTGAGGATCTTAATGCTCACTTTTCTATGCTAGGATTGAGTATCTTTCATTAGTACAGCAGAGGTTCTGAATTTATCCTTAATAATCATAGAAATTATATGTTACATATTGCATTTACTCAACTAGTTTTAGTTTAGAAAAAAAAATTTCCCAAATCAATAATATATGTAAACCTCGAGGATTACATGGGGATTAAATAATCCCATTAATTTTATTCTCAAAGAAAACAATCACATATTTGCCTTTTTTTTTTTTTCTTTTAAGGAACTTGCAACTCTTAAAACCAAAGAGCTCTATCAGACAATGGAGAAAGCTCAGGAATTAGCCCAGAGATTAAAACAAGAACAGCACATTCCAGACGTGGTTCAGAAGGCACATGACATTTGCAAAGTTCAGAACAATCCTGGTGGTGGCAAGTCCAAGCCTTCTCCTACTCATTTTGCCTGTTCCTGTGGGGTTTGAAAGCAAGTTGTTTTCTGGGTTGGGGTTTTTTGGGGTTTGTTTCCCTGTCTGCATTTGGGTCAGAAACAGCTCCTTCACAAACTAAGTTTCATTACAATTTATTTACCTTCCAAATAAATACAAGTGTTGCCTACTCTGGAGAATATTGTATTTGAGTGAGTAGCAAGTGCTGTATTACAGAAAGAAACACCACAGTAATCGGGTAACTCAATAGCACAGCTTAAACTGAACGTGTGTTCCTAAATGGAACAGTTTAGCTCACAGTAATTTCATCTGCTTTTTAGGTGATGCACAATGTGAAACTTGCAATTGTGCCATTTCACATCCAAGTAACAGCTTTCCTGATGAGGTCAAGAGCCCCAGTGAGCAGCAGGTTTCTCCTCGGAAGGACACGGCTGTGCAGACAGGTACGAGCGCTCTGATGCAGCTCAGCACAGGCACAGGCAGCGTCTGTGAAATCACTGGGGGTCAGAATGGAATAAAACTGGAAGGAAATCCTTGCACAGACATAGGCATGGTGGTATATTAGAATGTATCACTTTATTCTACTAAATAAATGATATTTTTGGTTTTGGCAGTGCTGGTGGAAATTTTACTCTGAATTCGGAGAGTTTACAAATTAAATAATGTTTTTGTGAATGCCTCTCAGTGAAGAGAAAAGCGGGATTGTTGATAATTTAAAAATTGAACAAATTATTTCCATTGGACAATAAGGATCAGGGAAGTAAATTATTCCCAGTAGTGCTGTGAATATGACCAAACCATGGGCATGCTGGAAAACTATAGAGAAGCTGTGTTTTGCTCTTTACTTTTGGGTACTATGACAGAAATAGAATTCTACATTTTAAAAGAATGTTGTTTCATTTGACATACATTTTCCTTTACAATGACTTGATTTTGTTCTCCAGTCTTTTGAGGTTTTCCTCTTCCTTACTGGGTTTGCTTCTACTGGTCTTATCTGTCTTCCACATAAAAAAAAAGAATAAAAAAGCTTTATAAAAAACTGTAACAGCCATTTTTGACTAAAATCATAATGGTAGATTGATATGCATACAAAAGTCAACCAAGTAATTTCAATAGCTCAGAGTTAAAATACAATTCTTTCTTTTTTTTAGATTACTTTAATACTTCAGCCTACACTGAGTCAGCTGAGGAAAAAACTGTGCGTTGCGAATCACCTGATATTTCTATAGAATATAAAGAAACCTCTAACAGCAAAAAATACCAGAAGGAAATGCAGTATATAGATAAAAATAAAATATCAGGAAAAGAGACTCGTGGCACTTACAGTGACCTATATGACCAGTATGCCAGAAAGGAAAGACAAATTAAATCTTCAGAAAAATACAGCAAAAGACCTGACTGGAACATAAACAAGCCTGGGAAAAGATACATTCCAGCATCAGAAAGATACCCTAAACAACTACAAAAACAAAGGGAAGAAAACAAAGTGAGGAGACAGATGGAGCTGCTTCAGCTGATGGAAAGAAACACCCCTGGGCACCTCTGTGCAAGGAAGGGGGGAGACTGGGACAGGTCTCCCTCACCTCGGGAAGAAACAGCTGGGAGGAATAAGGGGCACAGAGGCAGGAAGGTGGGTCACTGTTTGGGCTTTAAAACGACAGTGATGCCCATTTTTGAGAGTCTTGTTCCACACAGTTTCGTCAGGATGGGAGTTCAGTTCTGTAACTGAAGCACTGAAATCTTCTTGTTGCTGTTCTCAGAAAAAATCTGGACCTCTCCTTTAATAATCATTGCCTTGGGTTGAACCTTTCAGTTTATAAATGCAGCTTTCCAAGGACATAGAAATATATATATAGTATTTTTTGATAGTGCTTAGAGCTGCCAAAGGCATAGAAAATGGAAGAACATCTTCCTATAATTTGCTTAATTTAATTCATAGACACTGTAAATTGATAAATACCTTTCTGCTGAACCCAGGTCAAACAGTCCTTTTGGAATTTCAAAACAAACCCCTTCTGAAAAATCAAAGCTTTTAATGTAAAAACGTGGAGATTTGTTGTTTTACTTTTGACTTTGCTTTCTCCTAGGAAGAACAATTCCGTAAGAAGCCCTTGAATGAAGAAAGGTACGTCAGTGCTCTGCATTAATGAAATGTAGAAATACATCAATAGTGAAATGCACTTGCTTTTCTTTCCTGACTTTTTACATGTATCTATTGTCTGCTATTAAAAATGCACATGACCAGACAGACTGCCATTATGAAAGCAGAGTAAATGAACAAAAAATCCTGTCCTCTGAGGATTCCTTTCTCTGCTGGTTGAGAAAAATTAATTACATCATTTAAGTATTGTTTGGGCCTTTCTTAACTGCAGTTGTTTCGTACAGATCCGAATCGCCACCTGTTCCAGCAGTTAAGAACAGATTACTCCAAGTCCAACAGAGACAGATCCACGCTTCCAATTTCCTGGGGCACAACAACAACAGCAGGAGAGAGAAAAGCATCAAGGCAGATCCCAAGCAGAGGAGCTCCCCTCCTGCCCCAGAGGCTGCTCGGCCTCCCTCGGCACAGTTTGTCCCCTACGTCCGAACAAACGAGGTGTATTGCCTCGACCCCGAGGCACCGGTGACCAGACCTTCAACACACGACCCACAGTATCGACAGCCCCATGGTACTGAAATGATGCATGTAGGAGAGAAGAAATGTTACAGTGGTGTAGATGCAAGTGCTGCAGTTTTAACCGATTTTATGTCTGTTTTTACTGGATTTTGGAGTCATCCACGTGTGTCACAGCACTGCACGCAAAGGCAAAGGCTGTGCAGCCAAACGATGCTCTTTATCAACCCAACAAAGCAGCCACAAAAAACGTTTTTAAAAAAATCAAAACAGCAACAAAAAAAAATATTTTATCTTTTTCATCTGTTTACCTTTAATGAAGCATGACTGCATTTCTTTGGCATTATTGTATATAGATTGGAGTTTAGGAATCCAAGCATTGTTTAACTTAAAAAAAGTGATTATAATCTTGATAGCAACCAAAACCTGATTTTCACAAACCGTGAAAATTTACTGCTTCAAAAATAAAAAAGAGTATTGTTAACTGATTTGATGTACATTTACTTCTAGGTTCTTACCAAATGCCACGACAGATTTTTAGCTCAGATCACGTTAGAGATCCTCTTCTAAACCCTGATGTAGTTAGAGAGAGACAACAAGCAATTCTCAAAGGATTGTCAAAATTACGCCAGGTAAGCAACAACTGAGTGGATAAACATACATGTGTATATATATACACTTAAGTAAAAATTAATATTGCAAACTATTATATATCATAAACTTTAATTCATTTTCCATATTGTGATTTATGTTTTGGGTCCTGTCCTCTACTTTTTTTTCCTCTTACTAAGTTTGCTTTCCAGTTTTGGCCAGTCCTTCCAGTCAGCCCCTGGACTCCTTAGTCCTTACATTAGCTGTGAAACACCAGAGTGCCCGAGAAACTTGAAATCAAGAGAAATGGCTTTGTTTCCATAGTTAGGATTGTCTGTATTAAAAGTGTATGAATTTCAAAAGAACAGTGTTTTAACACAGCATTAGAACCTTGTTAATGAAGTTCCCCTTCTGTAGTTCCTGCTGAGTCTCAACAGAGCAGTGGGGCTGGTACAGAAGGGGTGTCAGTCCTGGAAAAATCCTGTATATTTGCAAACTGGAAGTGCAAACACTTACAAAATCCTTCCAAGACAGCTATTTGTTAGCATGTAAAAAAAAAAAAAAAAGTTAGGATTTGTCCATCAGTCAGATTTTCTGAAAATAAAATGAAAATTAGCTTAATACTACAGATACACGAGCTCCTGAGACTAAAGCCTGGGTGTGTTTGTACAGGTTGTTCTCTTTGTAGTAAATTACTTGTATCTTGTTACTAAACCCTGAGTGAATGTGATACTCCACCTGTTGGCAACAAGGTGTGGCCCACAGCAGGTCCTGACACGAGCAGTTCTCTTTTGTGCTTCTAAATGGTCTGACAGGGCTGCAAGACAAAAAAACCCCCACATTTACATTAGATCTGTATTTGGTTCTTGAAGAACATTGAAGATAAACATCTATCAGTACCTTCCCTTGCTTTTTGAGTGGCTCCATTCTAAAAGAACTTTCTTGCTAGCAGCAGTATTTCTTTTTCTTTTCCTTGAGGGAGGAAAATTTCATAAAGAATCAAAGGGAAATAAATCTGACAGACTGAAGTACCAAAATTACCAGTAGTTAATGTTATTGATTCCCTGGATTACCTGCTGTGCTTTAGCAAGACTGAAGTACTGACATGCACAGGTGGTGTTTCAGCTGCAGGTAAATTCCTTGTGCAAAGGAAGGATCATAACACTCCCCAGCTGAGGAAGAAAAGTTGTGACCCAAGAACAGTGAAAAGCTGCCAGTTCCCAGCAGCTTCCCAATGGGGTGGACTAGATCTTCCTCAATGCTCATTAACATTTTTGTTAAATATCTACAGTTGTTAAGTATTTTGTATTCAGGCTTCATTTGCCAGTGGCATTTGGATTAAGAGTGAAGCCAGATTCAAAGCACAGTCTGATCCTTGTGCTTGCTGAGGTGAACAGAAGGCATAGATATTTAAAGAGGTTTACATTTTTGATGCATAGTATATATTCAAGTCTTAACAGTGGCTAAAAAATAATGGCAAGGTTAGTCTTCCAATGGATCTTGGTTCTGCAAGAGAGTTAACTTAAAACATGTAGAGTTCTTTTTTTAAATACCCTGCCAGCTGCAGAATGCATTTAGGACATGAACTGTTGAACTTCAGTATATTTGTATACCTAAGTATTGTGTATTCCTGCAGACGACACCTGTTTTGCATCAGTTATTTCACTGAGAAAGAATGAGTAGTGCAGTATTTTGTCTAAAATACAATTTAGACAAAGATTTGAGTTTTTTTTTCAGAAGATAATTAGTCTTGGGGTTTGTATTTATATATACATATATATAGTGGATTGATAGGTTCAAAATATATATATATTCACAACATATTTGGCCAGTCTTTAGCATTCTTTTGTCTGGAGAAATTCACAGACTATTTGGCCAGGCTTCAGCCCTTGCACTCCACACCCGGCCCAAGTGATCCATGAATACAGTTGGGCTGTTGCAGTAACAGCCCAGAGGAATTGGAAGACACGAGGGAAAATAGGAGAGCCTTCCCCTGCCAAAGGGAGGGAGAGTCTGTTGCTGCAGTTCTTACAAGACAGCAAATGTCTGCCTGTGTCTCAGGTTACAGCAGCAACAGGAAAAAGCAACAGACTTAGTTTTCCTCACTGAAATCAAAAATCAGGGGATAAGCCCAGCAAAGTGAATTATCTGTGAAAAAGAAGGGCCAAAGTTTAAGAAAAAGGAGAACACCCCCTGTCACACCAGGTCAAGTACACCCCAGAGCACCATAATGTTCCTAAGGCAGGAAAGGCACTTCCAGCCTGTGGTCCACGATGGCTGTGGGAGGACAGAGCTCACTGCTGGTCCCTCAGTAAATATTCCACATTCTGTGCTCCAGGCCCTTCTGATACCTTTGCAGACCAAGTGATAAACATGGATCTGTCAGCTTTCAATGTTACTTGTTTCTCAGCTCTTGCTTTATTTAGGGCCGTTTATTTTATGAGTTGGTTTTGTAACATGTTACTGTAATGGAAGTAATTATAGACACAGGGACTGGGAGCTACACGAACTCATTAACAATAATAGCATGTACTGTTGATTAATTGGAAAGCAATCCACCAAGGGATTGAAAGTAGGCAGCTGCTGCCTTTGAAGGATCCTAAGTTAAGTCTAACAGGCTGCTGTGCTTCCATGCCACCAGGAATATGTGTCTAAATTCTTGTAATACACTCTGCTTGCATCAGTTCTGTGCCGAGCTGTGCCATCAAAAGCCCTTGTAACTCTGAAAAAAAATACCTTTTATATTTTAAGTTCCTTGGTATCAATTTATTTCTGAGAGGTCTAAAATAGAGGCAGACCAAGGTGCCAGATGTATCAATATAAATGATCTTGTTAATTACACTAAAAAGATAAATTCTAAATTTATGAATATACTTGACATACCTGTATTGTGTTACTTTACAGGCAAGGGTACACTCCCAGGAGGCTTTTTTCTTACAGGTTTTCTCCTTCCTCAATTCTTAAAGGAGCCATTAGCAAAGAAGGAACCTTGACCCTTTTGACAATAAATATATATATATATATATATATCCTGAAACATCTGACACTGCTCTGGTTCAAATGGCAATGCTGCCCTTGATCTCGGAGCATCACTTTTGTTGAGACTCATGATCCCCATCAAGGTTTGGGGTTCAGCTTCATCCAGGAATACAACAGAATATGTGAATGCAGAGACACTACACAAAGGAGGGAGATTCAGTTCTCTATAGTGGAAAAGTCCTTTTTCCCTCTGCATGGTCATCCCTGGAAACTGGACTGGCTATCAGTCCAGGCACACTTCAAGTCTTCCCCAAATCTATAGGGACCCCCCCAAAATCTATAGGGACCCCCTGCACCATAGGGACCCCCTGGACCTACAGGGACCCCATAGGGACCCCATGGGGATCCCCTGTCCTACAGGGACCCCCCTGGACCTACAGGGACCCCATAGGGACCCCATGGGGATCCCCTGTCCTACAGGGACCCCCCTGGACCTACAGGGACCCCATAGGGACCCCCTGGACCTACAGGGACCTACAAGGACCCTATAGGGAAGTTCCCTCTCCACTGAGTGCATGAGTTTATTACTGCTTTTTCTGAAGTTGGGTACTTAAAAAGGATTAATCCTCAATAGGTAAATTGTTTTCAGCTATGGAACAGTGACACATCATTAGTTCAGGCTGTGTGGGGAGGACAGAACACTCACCTTGTATTTAATGTATTCCAGGGCCTCCTGCAGAAGCAGAAGGAGTTGGAGAACACTCTGATTCCCCCTGTAGCTCAAGAGAACTTCGTTCTGCCATTTTGAGAGGTACATGTGAATGTTCTGAATTCTTAAAATGGAAATGCACAGCACTTTGCCACTGTAATTAATTATGAACCATCTCTAGCTTTTTTTATGAAATTTAAATTATGAGAATTTTCATAGATTACAGGGTCGCATTTTTATATTGAAGGTACATTAAACTAATGGTGGTGTGTCTGTTCAGAATGGTCTTCAAGATGTAAGTGAATTTAATATAAACCACCAAAACCCAGAAGAAAACTGTTACATGGGGTTTTGTAGACTCAAGTGTGTGTGTTTTGATAAATAAAAAGATTAAGATGTATTCTGAATGGCTTGGGTAGTCTTTGTTAGTATTTTTAACTGTAAAATACTTCTCATACTTAAATATTCAGCCACCTCTTAGGCTAATACAGTGAATATAAGGGAGTTCCTTTTTCTAAAAAGGTTATTTATTTGCCATATTTTGGGGGAGGGTAACAACTGCTACACTATAGTCTGGTACTGGTTTGTTCTTAATTTGAACAAATAAGTCAATCAACTGTTAACAGAGGAAAAGATTCAAATTTAGGGAAAAGTCTACGGCTTTTGTTTGTTCGTTTTTTAAAAGCTGCCCCTTTTTAACCAATAATATTTATCCCAACTAATTTAGTGAGTTTAGAAACATTTACTTTTAAACACTATCATCTGGTACCAAACAGCACATCCTGCACAAAAGCACTAAAATTACCACCAGGAAAACCCCCCAAACTTTGGACAACATGAAGACAAGCAATAAAGAGACAGGAGTCTCTGGAAAACCAGCAACAGGGTAAAAGGGTCAACTCCAAGGGGTACAACGTCTGGAGACTCCCCAGCTCCTTCCTGCCAGCTGCTGCTTTCCACAAACTGAGTCAGAGATGATGGACAGCATGAGGCAATTAAGAGACATTCACAGAAGGGCGGGGGGGAGAGAGGAGGGAGTTTACAACTCAGCAGATGTGAAATTAAAAAAGACAGAATTAAGAAATAGATAAAACTCCAATGCCAATGCCTGTTCACAAAACAAACAAACAAAAAAACAAAACCCTGAAAGCCCCAGGAATCATTAAGCTGAAGTGGGAGAGGGTCAAAGTTTTTCTAATGCAAACTGAACTCTACAGTCATTAAACTCAGGTTTGTCCTTCTCTCATTACAGTAATTACAATGGTCAGATAAAAGCTTAAGGTCACTGATAGTGCTGCAGTAACACCGGTAATTCTGTGCACGAAACCAAGTTTAGGTGTTTCTCCCATACTCTGCAAACAACATAAAACCCACAGACAATGCAAGGTGTTAACAAGTCCCTTGTGCATTAAGAGTTTATTCGATTTTTGTAATGGAACTGCACCATTGGTTACTCTAATTGAGGTATTTAGCCAAAATCCAGTATATAGTCATGAAAATAACTACATTGCCTTAGAGCTATGTAAAAACATTATACAAAAATTTTGTCAATGTCAAATAAATACATTAATATTTATGTAAAGAAAAGTGACTTGGATACTCTTACAGTTAAAAAAAGAAAACAACTGGCTCTTTCACATATTTTAGGCAAACATTCAGTTTTACATTAAAACAGACCTCAAACTGAAGCCCAGGTAACAGGTCAAATACAAATGTAGAAACTTAAAAGTGCCAACAAACAAGATAATTCAAGTACAGTAAACGTTAAAAAATATATATATTTATTTAAACTTTCAGATGGTTCCAAGAGGGACAAGCCATCAGGAATTTAAATAGAACAAGAAAACATTTGAGATAACAAGACCAAGAAACATTCTGCTCCAGAATAAAATAGAAATTGTTAAATCCAACATTTTAGAAACAGAGAAGTCCACAGCAACTTAGAAAAAGAGACTTTAGAGTTTATTTCTGTTCTGAATATGGCCTGGAAGAATCACAGCTGCTGTCCCAGCCACCAGGCGATAAGGACTTTTCTGTATCCATGCTCTGACTGTAGGCAGAGAGAAAATAATTGCTCCCTTCTTGGTGTTGATTTGCAGGAGAAATTGGATATGTTGTTCCCAGAAAAGTCTGATGAGTGAGTACATTTAAGTGGCTGAATTGATGGGACATGTTTAATTGTCTGCTATAAACCGGGAAGTTACTGAAAGGAGTTTGTTCAACTAAATTGTGTTTTTCTCCCTCAGCAGAGCATGCTGTAGAACCTGGAGTAAGTGGCTGTTTCTCTTCCAAGTCACTTTTAGAAGTTTTTTCCACCAGGCCACTTTGTGCTTCGGAAGATAACTCTGTAACTGATAAGCAGCTTTCTTTAGCATCTACTCCATGTGGGCCCTTGGCCTCTGTCTGCAAAGCTTCCACATGAGTATCATACTTAGAGGCATCACTGCAGATTTCTATCTGTGATATTTCATCCCCTGAATCCAGAGACATGTCCTCCTCATCCTTCTCATCCTTTTCTACAAGAACTACATTAAAAAAGAGAGAAAGTCCTATTCTATTGAAATACAAACGTGGGTTAAAAAGGCCATACACTACTCACAGCGAGTTACGTTTCAGGTCAGCAAGTCCAATAGCACTTAAGTCTTGGTCTTCTGCCACTCGTGTTCACTTACTCAACACACACACTTAACCCTCTGGGGGAGTGTCCAGTTACTCCGATTCTGCCCATTGTGTTCATATTTAGTGTTGGGAAATCCCAACTCCCAGCTCCAAAGGGGGCAATGTCAAAACAGCATCTAAAGTTACACAGCAGGTAAGTATTCGATTAAAAGAGTACAATAACTGACATCTCAGTACAGTTTATCTACTACAAGTAGATAAAGGTAGGTAGTAGAGAAAAGTTTATCCTTTTCCTGAAAAGATGGTTACATTACTCTGTGTAGAAGCTCAAGTACTATGTTAGCTTGTACCTTCTGTATTTAAGATCTCCTCTGGTGCTCCATCCCAGCTGCCTTTCCCCCATCATTTAAAACAGAAAAAGAGTAGCTGGAGAGTTGGGTTTTCCTTGCCAGCTGCAGTGTTCATTGACAAGAGTCAAGGCACACTGTCTGAAGGACCCCACCCCACACCCCTAGTTTGGCAATGAAAGTTTAAGTGTGCTCAACGTTACCTGATTGTCTTTGGTGAGCTTCAGAAGCAGGAGGACAGCTCTGCTCCGTATCCGAGTTGTGATACCCAACGAGGCTTTTAAAATTATGCATAAAGTCATCAACAGTAGCAACCACTATTCCATTATCAGCATAACTTGAGAATGTTTTCAGGTTCTTTTCTAAACACATAAAAGTTTGTGTTAATGTTCAGCACCTGTTATCAAAAGAGGGCGAGAGGTATTCACAAATTTGGGCTTTACCTGTTAAGAAGACAACATGTCTCTGTTGTATGTTCTGAGCCTGAAGCCTGATTAGACAGTCTAGGTCTGGAGCATTGCGAGTTTGAGAATCACAGCTATGGTAAGACAGAATCTCAACCAAGTGCTTCTTTTGATAGGAGTTCAGAAGTGTGAGCAGACTCAGGGCATTGGCATTCATCCTGTAATAGGGGGAAAAGCTCAGTTACAAATACTCAGTCTAAATATTAGAAGACAAACATGAGAGGGAGTTACACTGAAGTGGGATTTGGAGCATAATGAAAAAGTTGAAGCATTTTAACAGGTGGTGCTGAAGAACATTACTTACCTTGCCAGCTCTTTCAGTTTTTTTTGTATTTTGCAGTGGATTTTCCACTGCCATTTCCCATCTGGGGTATTGAGAGCCTCCAGAAACTCTAAGAACTGCTTTAGTTTATCTGTTATGGAGATAATGAACAGAAGTTAAATTTTGTGGTATGTAAACTGAAAATACTGCTTCAGTATATACATAAAGCTGCTTTCTGTTTCCATCACAGCACAGTTACACAACTATTCAGGTTTTCTTCTGAGCAGACTGGCCAACAACAGTACCACAAAACTGAGCTGCTTTTCTGTAGGTCAGGTGCCCAACAGTGGTATTTAAAAGCTGATCTCAGTCATACACGGTCTGCCTTGCTAAAATATTTATTTCAAAAAATGGTAATTTCATTAACTATTCAATTTCAAATAAAGAAAAAGTGAAAAAAATACAGGTTTTCAATATCCTCTCTTACCATATTTGTGCACTGAGTAGTAAGGAACACAAGGTTCCATGTATGTAACTACACAATGTAATAATACAAACTTAAGACAAAACCTTCCCGTTCAGATGTCCTTCAGTAAGGCCACTGAGGTGAGAAAAGAGACTGAATTAGCTGAACTTCTCAAAAAACATCACAGGAATTAGAAAACTTGATCCTTCACTGCACCGAGCAGAGCACCTCTCAGGGTCTGAAATGTCAGGCTTTTAGTCTGTTATAAAGCTTAGGAAGCATCACACCCACCTGTAGTGATGGACTCTGGATTAAGGACAGATTCATCTGACACAACAAAACCACCTGACACAAACAGTTCATTGTAAGTGTGATTCTTCACATCATCCAAACTATCAACCCCCGCAAAGCTGACACAGGAGAGCCTCTTCAAAGTTACTAGGCATGGGATCTGTTTAAAAACATTGGAAAATCAGAGACAAAAAAATACAACTACGGAACTTTCCCACTTACTAGTGCCAAACACCAAATTTCAAAACACATTTTCCAAGAACTACTGTTTTTTCTCTTACCTGGGGAGGTGCTCTCTAAGGAACATTACAGGAATGAGACAAACAGAAATCGAGCATTTGGAGTAATTTAACTTTCTGTCCAGCACTGGTTTATAAGCCCCAGCTGTCAGGAATATCTAAAGGTCATCTGAGAGCTGCCTTCACCTGTCATTAGAGCATCACAGAACTAGATGCAGAACTACTCAGGCCTCGCTACAGCTTTACAACTACTAAGAATAAACACACATTAGCACTTGTAGGGGAGGGGAAGAAGTTGTGGGTACATGATGAACACAACCATTTTGTTTCTTCAATCAGCAACTAAACAGAGGGCACTGTTTAAATGCTGTGCTGTCAAGAGAAAGCAGCCTGGCTCAGAGTGAGCTTTGTAACACCAGTAACAGCAGTTTTCTATAGCACACATCTACCCGTGTGGGACATACCTTATGGATGAGGTTGGCAATGTCTTCATTTTGGATGATGATCAACAGTTTATCTGAATTAGCTCTTCCTCTAGGGAACTGCTCTGGATGGCACTCTGTATTACCCAACTGTATAAGGTAATCCTACCACCAAATAAAGAGAAGATGGGAAAAAAGTGAATAGTTTGGTCAAGATGATGACCATGGCAAGTAAGTTTTCCACTCAGATGCATCTCAGAGGGTGTGGCTTCCTTGTCTCTGCCATATAT